ATTGAACCCGGAACCTCCAGCACTCGAGGTAGACACCATGCCTCAAGACAACACAGTTTCCCAGAAGTCCACCACAACAACAGCGTATAAGCCCACATAGACAACGCCTCGGGAATCACTCAGGAAAAGAGTCAAACCGCCAGACAGAAACCCCTCTTCGTGGGCATGATAAGTGGCTGTAAACATATTACAGACTGCCCGTTGAAAGACCGTAGTCTACCTACTGGGACAGCATTATGGCTGCTGGTTTAATCTTTTGAGAAACTCCAATCACTGAGACCACGTCTAATCTACAGTGTCCGGCTGGTCAGCTGGGCATATTTATTTTGTCCGGATTGACCGTCCTTCAGGTTGGGTTGTTACTTTTAAATAGCGTCTGCTTAATGCTTCTGTTTGTTCTTGGTCGAACCCGTGGCTTTGTTAATGATGCAATCTGGAGATTAGAAAGTTGCCAAACGTACCTAATTGTGCTAGTGTTTACTCATAATGGGGCCTCGGCGTCGTCTGCCACTGTGTTTGTTCTGTGTTCAAATCTTACAATGGCCCTCCACCCCCGATTGGTTTCTCCAACCTCGTTACTTATATACAACAGCAAAGCTCGCCCTTCACTGAAGCAGACACGTGTATTTCGAGCCCCATTATGGAGAAGAAAAATAATACATGTGCCCCCTCCCCCCACCCCAAAGAAAAGCATGTCATACAAGTCGAAAAATTAGGGGTGTTCATTTCGAAATCGGTGTCCAAAAGTCTGAGAGGAGAGAAACCAACATTCTGATTAGAAATACGCCGGATCTGTTAAAAGGGTGTGCACGGAAAACTCAAGTTCTGGATTGAGACCAAAGTAAAGAAGTGGATGAACAACCAGTACCTTCCGCTGGAGTTTATAGTTAGTGAAAGCGAAGGAGAAGACTAGATCTCCAAAACTCTCTTTCTAGACGTGATAGTCGGAGACTGGTGTTCATCCCTTACATGACGTTGTTTACCCAACTTGTATCGCTGGCTATCTTTGACTGGCTTGTCTTCAACGTGTTTCTCCGAAATTATTTTTATGAGAGTTTACCGATTCTTGACAGTCTTTTGTTATGGCACTGAGCGGAGCCAGCCCACTAATTGATACCTGCTGATGAAGATGACAGATTGTGGAGAGGCATGATCGCCTACGCCAGTCAAAAAGGAACTTGATGATGACAATAATGCCCTTTAATGTATAGTATCTCCCATGTTGACACACAAGCAGATACCCCGGAGTACTAAAGTGGATCTTATCAGAACTATTTTTTTGGCCAACGCTATGCTATTTGTGTCAAACGTGGACACTTACATCCTCTAACGAAAGCAACATTTTGACAACAGAGATGAAATGCCTTAGAAGAGTCCTGGAGTTTCAAGCAAAGACAGAATACGAAATCACGAAATCAGACGAATGCTAGGAATGAAGCCAGTATTAAAGGTCATCAAAGAACAACAAATGAAGTGGTTGGGACACCTAACAAGAATGCCCTGTTGCTATTTACCACAGCGAGCCACACTGAAACAATATAACGGGTATAGAGCGGGTGGAAGACCTTGGAAAATATGGAGTGATGATATTTGAACAGCCTTACAGAAAGAAATGAACAGTAATCTCAACAGTGCTCCTGGCAGAGCACATCAACGAACGTTACATCTCTCACCCGTTCCCCCACGCACCAACCCCCCCCCCCCCCGCCCACTTCACTGAGGTACAGGGTGGAGAGAAGAAGAAGAAGAAGAAGAAGAAGAAGAAGAAGAAGAAGAAGAAGAAGAAGCAGAAGAAGAAGAAGAAGAAGAAGAAGCAGAAGAAGCAGAAGAAGAAGAAGAAGAAGAAGAAGAAGAAGAAGAAGAAGAAGAAGAAGAAGAAGAAGAAGAAGAAGAAGAAGAAGAAGCAGAAGAAGCAGAAGAAGAAGAAGAAGAAGAAGAAGAAGAAGAAGAAGAAGAAGAAGAAGGAGGAGGAGGAGGAGGAGGAGGAGGAGAAGAAGAAGAAGAAGAAGAAGAAGAAGAAGAAAATAATATGGTCTACCTCTTGTCTTCAATTTTTCCCTTCAGTAAAGTTTTTATAAAAGTATTTATGTCTAATAACGCGACCAATACCAACAAACTACTATCGATCATTATAACAAAGGGAATTTGTTTTCTAGGGAAAAAAGGTGCCAGTACTCTCACCACTAGGTGTCTTAAACTGGTACCGGTACTCACCACAGAGTCTGTTACAGTCAGGTCCTCATTTAGACTGGATAAGGCCCTAAGCCCTAAGCAATATAAAGCTCCGAGGCACCTACATTTCTAAATGAAACACGTTAATCTAGGAAAACAATTTAAAATATGCCTTTTAAAGATAAAGTTGATGAAAATATCATCATCATCAATAAGCAAGTCTTTTACAGAAGGTCGTTCTCTTCACGGAATGCCTGAAAGTATCCCTTTTCCTAGTCAGCTCTCCAGCCCCATGTGTTTTCATTTCCTATGCATCTTTAATGTCCTGTATCCATATTCGCGAAGGTCGACCCCTGCCTCCACAAACTTCACTCTCCAACACCGTCTTTTCCAAGCCATGACGTTTAATGTGGTCAAAATACTTCAACTTTCGAGACATGATAATGAAAACATACCGCTGTTAAATTTTTAGTAAAAGAAATAATAAGTGTTTTCTTACTATCCTACCCCAAAGAGGGGAAACCCACAGGTCACGGGTCAATCTAATATTTCAGGGGGTGGTCGATAGGCTGCATGCAGTCGTGGGACCTAGGCTGCACTCTCTTGTGGGACGTAGTGATGGGGGTGGGGTGGGGTTAGTGTAAGTTCTAGATGTTTTGGGGGTCGTTAAAAGCACTAGAAAGCCGGAAAAACCAGTCTTACCACCCTCTAAAATGTTGGACTGTCCTGTAACGTCATCTGGGGTAGGATATTACGAAAGAACCAAAATAATATATATTATAGAATCATCATAAAGCTTCTGTTTAAAAAAAATGCATTTATAAAACAAAATAAGAATGTGTCGAGGCCTATGCAGATTGCGAGGCCCTAAGCTGCACATTAGTTAGCGTGTGCCTAAACCCAGCACTGATTACAGTATCACCAAAATTATGTCAACAAAAAATAGGTGCCAGTACTGCGCACAGCCAGACAATAGCCCTGATTAGAACTACACCAAAGTGGCCGCGGGCAGTGTGCCACGGGCGGTGTTGTATAGTTAATGACGTGGCTGCAATTGTTGGTGGATTAGCTTTGTATAGGCTGTAAGGGGCGGAGTTTTCCCATGGGATTCCACTTTCCCCCTTGGCTCTCCAGGCACGCGAGGACTGTTTATCTAGGCCACTATACAATTTGACCGACGTTTCCAGCGGGTTCCCCCGAACGTGCGCCTAGGGGCCAATGGGTGTCCGGTGCTGCACGAGCCGGAGAGTGCCGAAGCGCATTCGGCGCATTCCGGTAGTTGTCATTGGTTGCCTGGTGTCGACTCGTGAGCGTGGGAAAAGAACAACTTGTTGCTTCACACTGGCGAGGGCGGCTGTCCCATGGGCGCCGAAACTGGGTAGGGAAGTGGGGTTAACATTTTTAAATTGTGGGGCCCCAGGGGGCCAGGCCCCTTTCCTAGAAAATTGACAAAGGGCCTAAGTGCCACCCATCTATGTATGAATTATTCTGTGTTATAATCCACCTATGTAAAGTGTCTAAATGTTCCTAAGTACTTGTTAAACATTCCTTACGTTATTAAAAATTATTATAATTACTCCTGCCAGGGCTTTCACCAGAAGCAAAAGTGTCGGGGCTTACCACGATATCTAAGGGACTGATAAAATGACAAGAAAAAGGTGCCGGTTCTGAACACCAATGCATGCGGCCAAAGAAAGCCTATTATTGTTACTAATATTACTGATTGTTATGGCGCAAGCACACACGGCTCGAGCCACATGTACTCCCTCCCCCAATAGCTTTCTAAGGCGGGGGGGGGGGGCTTCAATCTTGTTTAACTGTGTAATATAATTTTAATATTCGGCGATAAACGAGGCTTTAGCCCTTTGAAGGTCTCCGCTGCTGGAAAATTAGTCGGGGTTCGGGAAACACCCTATCCCCCTCTTTTTCACCACCATCACTCATGCTTTCTCTGTAGCGGCGCCCATGTTGGCGAGGGCAGCTGACCTCTCGTCAAAGGAAACCTCGGGGGTGGACGAACCGCAGGGACGGGGGAAGGGGACACGTGGGAACCAGACACCGGAGATAAAAAGAAACAGGCCGGTAACTGAGCGCCGTGTTTGTATATCCCACCGTGAATTCGTTACTAGAAGCCTGGAGAGACTCCAAACAGCCGAACCACCTGACGAGGGCCCATTCGAGGGGGCAGCCACACGCCCTACCCCCTCCCTTGTGAATACTCTTGCGCACTTTAAACTGGGAGCGAAAGTTGTTCTGCCCCATTGACATTCGTGGTTGGTGTGACTGAGTGTTCGCCTGCACTTAGTATATTATCAGTATAGATTCTAATGTGGATAACTTTAGTATCAGTATATCCGTCTGATTTACATGGAGATTCGGACTGCGCGATAACTTTCAGAAAGATAACCAGCCTCGTCATATGTGTTTCTGACAGAAGGATCCAAGAATTAGTATCGTAATATATTTTATTATAAACTAAACTAATAATATAGTGAGAAGCTGCGAGTTCATTAAGAGTTTTATTTAAAATATACGCACTTGTTCATGTGTCGTTTAGTACCGTCTTTATTTGAGGTAGATCATCAATATTAGATGTTTCCAAATTTCTCATTTATAGCTATAGATACAACATTTCTGGTGTTGTAACTTGTGAACAAATTTGTTGCACCTGCTGGGACAATTCCACTTCAAAATATTGGGATTAGTGCCTAATTAACTGTGTGTGTCCGTATGTTACCCTGATCACCTTAGGGTGTTATATACTGGAGGTGTTTTGTGATAGGGGTGTTCTATATTCAACTATTTGGCACCAACCAATGTCCGATACGATGACGGAGAATGAGTTGTCGTCGCCGACCTCAACATCCTCCTCAGACGATTTCAGCCCGAGAAAGATGGACAAGGTGAACTACAAAAAAGTATGTATTCAAAGGTTATATTCTGAGTTGTGTTATCTATTCATTTGTTAACTGTATTATCTGTGAAATCATAGTTGTATTATCTGATAAGTTATTCGTTACATTATTTATTCATTTCTTGTATTATTTTTCAATTCCTAATTATATTATTATGTGTGCAATTTTTGGCTATGTTGTCTGTTCATTTCTTAGTTTTAAATTATCAGTTCATATTTTAGTTATAATATCTATTCAATTCTTAGTTGAATTATCTGTTTATTTCTTAATTACATCATATTCTGTTAAATTCTTGGTTATGTTATTTGTCACTTCTATGTTATATTATCTGTTCATTTATTAGTTACATTATCTGTTAAATTCTTAGTTATATTGCATGTTCACTTCATGGCTATAGTATTTGTTAATTTCTTTCTTATATTATCTAATAAATGTTTGGTTGAATTATCTGCTCAATGTGGAACAAGAGAATGAATGCAAAAGTGCCCTGTAAAGCCAAACAACTGTGAAAGTAATACAGCCCAATAAAACCAACGGCCCAGTAAAGGCAAACAGCCATTAACGTTAAATTGCCAAGTAGAACTAAACAGATGTGAACGTAAAATTACCCAGTAAAACCAAGCAGTTCTGAACGTAAAATTTTTCAGTAAAACCAAAGAGCTGTGAGCGTACAATTGCCAAGTAAAACCAAACAGCTGTAAACGTAAAACTGCCAAGTAACACCAAACAGCTGTGAACGTAAAACTGCCAAGTGAAACCAAACAGCTGTGAACGTAAAACTGCCAAGTAATACCAAACAGCTGTGAACGTAAAACTGCCAAGTGAAACCAAACAGCTGTGAACGTAAAACTGCCAAGTAATACCAAACAGCTGTGAACGTAAAATTGCCCAGAAAAACCAAACAGCTAAATAAACACTGCTGGAATTGGTTCCGCAACTCCCATCAAAAGGAACCATGACTAACTCTTATTATGTGTTCTTATGGGAACAACCAGTGGAGGTACCTTGAAGCGGCTCCTGCATCGGAGGACTGAGTACGCCTGGGAATGCTTAATGTGCAGTGACGTCGATTAGCATAACATAACACGCGGGCTACAACACGGCGGCTCCCTCGGTAGTGATGATAACACGACATAATATTTTCGGTTTATTTCTTTATTATATTATCAGTTGTAAACAAAGTATATAAAGAACCCTTTTCGCCCCAGTTGTGTACTGGACAATTGACTATTTTCATACACTAATCAGCATTTGATGGCTGATGCGGTTAACATCACACTAGCCACCTTTACTTCCCAGGAGTTTACCTGTACCCATTTAGGCTGGGTTTAAAAAATCCGACTCGGTGTGGATGTGAACTTGAGACCCATGGACCGGAACGCCAGCGTCTTATTTATCCACATCATGTGCCATGCGCTCAGGCCTTTCTACAGATCTTTTTCTCTGGTAAAGTAAAGAAAAGAACCCTTTTCCTTGCCTTCATAAGTATTGTGCATATAGGGCTAGACCTATATTTTATAGACCAATCAGCACGACCGCCTTTACTTCCCAAAACTGTACCTGGTACCCAGTCAAGGCTGACTCCATCTGGGAGCCAATGTCATTTTTGAGGAACGCCCGGTTTCCTGTCTTTGGTATTCTGAATCCATTCCACTGAGGATATTCCTCCATGCCATCGCTTCAGGCTGTCAAGTATCGTCTGCTCTTCATCTGCCTTTGCCCTTGACCCTTCTAGTCACCAACGATGTTCTCTAGAACCCCTCTTCCATTCACATGGCCGAAGAGCAGTGACCGTCTCGTTTCTTTCTAATAGTTTATTTCTTATACTGTACATTAGATTTTTGGTTTTTCTAGACTTGTAAACATCTAGGTCAGCGGTTCCCAACCTATGGGTCGCGATCCTTGGGGGGGGGGGGAAGCATCCTTTTTACAGGGGGTCACCAAAGACCATCGCAAAACATATATTCACTGAAGTTCTGAACTAGCGACGAAAATCAGAAACAGATTGGAAAAACAACACTGGTTATAACTACGGAAAAGATTTTCTGAGGCACTTAACAGAACAGACCAAGTCACAGTTTTTCGCTTACGCACTGGACACTGCAGACTCAATAAACACTCACATAAATTAGGTATGAGCCAAACAGCTCTCTGCCAGTGCCTTCATGCTGAACAGACTCCAGAACATGCCCTGCAAGACTGTCCTCTCCTGGCGGAGCTGCGGAGCGCCATATGGCAACACCCAGTAGAACTGACAACTAAGCTTTGGGGAAACCTAAGAGACCTTGAAAAGACATCCCAGTTTATGACCCACAGTGGATTATGCGCATGACCAGAGATCGCTGAAGAAGAAGAAGAACTAGCGACGAAAATAATAGTATGTTGGGGGGGGGGGGCAGCACAACATGAGAAACTGTTTAAAGGGGTCGCCACAACGTGAGGAACTGTTTAAAGAGGTCGCCACAACATGAGGAACTGTTTAAAGGGGTCTCCACAACGCGAGGAACTGTTTAAAGAGGTCGCCACAGCGTGAGGAACTGTTTAAAGGGGTCGCTACAACGCGAGGAACTGTTTAAAGGGGTCGCCACAACATGGGGAACTCTATTAAAGGGTCACGGCATTAAGAAGGTTGAGAACGACTACTCTAGGTTATGTTTTTATTAGTATGCTGTAAAAGGAAAGGGTTGTATCGACACCTGTGTGGGTTCTAGGCCCTGCTTTTGTAAGAAAAATACAGGGGGGGGGGGCGGAGAGACTTAAAGACCCACCACTCCTAAATAAGCACGTGAAAAAGGCGACAAATTACGTGTCTTTTCCCCTTTTGTAAATTGGATGTGTTAGGCCGAAGGGGCCAGATTTCACAGCCAAGCGTTAAACACACAACACACGTGCCAGCTGCTCCTTTAGTCCAATCGAAGAACAAAAACTGCCAGATCTTACTGAATGTTCTCAACGATCTTCTTTACAGTTTTAACTTACATTTCGATTTGCTTTTGTTTGTTTTAGTATCCAGAAGCCCTGAGTTGTTAACCCTAAGGCTCGGTATTATGGATATCGCAACCTTTCGGCATTGATTCCATGATAAATACCGTAAATCTGGGAGAAATGTGGCTTTTCTGCCTACCCCCGGGAGTGAACCCGGACCACAAGGAGTTCGTACCCGGTCACCGCGCAGTCCGGTTTAGCCAACTACGCTAGAGAGCCGGGCCAATTAGCTTTTAAACAGAATCTGCCGACTTCCACATTCGGCCCCATTTCGAGTGTTTGCTTCTTTAAACTGCATTTCTTCCCATTTGCCGGGGCCCTTCTTATCCACTCACATATTCACAAATGTTCACAAAATGACATACTTAAGAAATCACAAAGTCACATAATCTCAAAATCACATGTTCGTACTTTTTACAGAATCATATGATTACATATTCATATAACACTTATTTACATATTTAAACAATCACATATGAACTTAATCTAATGTTTGTTTATTCACAATTCACGTAATTTAATGTTCCTTTATTCACATAATCACGTAATGTAATGTTCCTTTATTCACATAATCACGTAATGTAATGTTCCTTTATTCACATAATCACATGGTTATGTAATGCAATGTTCCTTTATCCACACAATCACATGGTCATTAATCGCGTGTTCACAGAGCAACAAACCAATGATGGAAAAGAAGCGACGGGCCAGGATTAACTGTTGCCTCAACCAGCTCAAGTCTCTGGTACTCCAGGCTATGAAGAAAGACGTGAGTAACGGCACTGTAACATTCTCCTGTTCCTACTCCTCTTCTCCCTCATCTTATTTTTCCTCCTGTTGCTTCCCTTTCTTCTTTTCTTACTATTTCTTCTTCGTCCTTCTTCTTTTCGTATTATTGTACGTGGTACTATTGCTACTGCTAATGTGATAATAACTGCTTCCTAATTTACTGCAAATAAATTATTACTAATCACAACTATTCTGCACTACTATCAGCATCACCACCAGCGACATCACTTTTATTGCTACCACTAATTTAAATTATATAACTTCATAAAATTTTAAGAATTACATTAAAGAACTGTTAGAATTTAAAAAAAAATATATCAATCAATGTTTGTTTGTTTGTTTATGAGCTATGGACTCGGAAACTACTGTATCGATTTAGCTGAAATTTTCAGGATATGTTTGTTTTCATACAGGATGTTTACCCATCATGGTTTGAAATTCTACCTGTCATTGTTAGAGATAGGTGACCACATTTGTTGCAAAAATCTTCGAAACTAATATTGAAATTTTTAGTGGCAGTTAATTATAGCCACGTTAGTAAATGCGCATATGCGATCGACTTTCACAGTGCATGCGCAGTAGACACGGGACGCTCCATTTTTTACATCCGCCCGTACAGCAAACCAGACTATCTCTATATCGCTGATTGCGACGTTAACTATATTATATACGATTTCTATTTTTTTTTCAAACAACGTTTGATGAGTTAGAGAGAAGTCGGTGGATTTAAGAGAGGGGAAGAGAAAGTGGGGGGGGGGGGGGAGCGATCTATGTCTGCGCAGACAATTATTGCGACATTTACCGTGTTAGACACGTACGATTTCTATTATTGTGCCGTTTCAATAATACTTGACGTTTATATCTATGATATCTGTTAATGAGAAAACAATTGCCAGCGGTTTTGAGTTGTGTTAGAATCGGGACACACATCTTGCATAGTTTTGTTATCTTTTCCTTGTTCAAAAGCAGTGGTTGGCTGGTGGAATGGTTAGTACACTGGGTTCCCGTGCAGTCTGTCATTTCCCCCTTTACCCCCCCCCCCTCACACACACACACACACACACACAAAGGACAATGATGGTCAGCTTATGTGGGTTTTTTTTTATGCAAAGGAATGGAGTAACTATGGTGTGACCCGTTTACTATTGTTGAAACTGCAGTTACCTGATTTGTAACATTCTTCTTTCAGAACTCGCAATATTCCAAGCTGGAAAAGGCAGACATTCTAGAACTGACAGTCAGACATTTGAAGGAAGTCCAGAGATACCAGGCCAGCTGTGAGTATAGCGATCTATCTATCTATCTATCTATCTATCTATCTATCTATCTATCTATCTATCTATCTATCTATCTATCTATCTATCTATCTATCTATCTATCTATCTATCTATCTATCTATCTATCTATCTATCTATCTATCTATCTATCTATCTATCTATCTATCTATTCTATCTATCTATCTATCTATCTATCTATCTATCTATCTATCTATCTATCTATCTATCTATCTATCTATCTATCTATCTATCTATCTATCTATCTATCTATCTATCTATCTATCTATCTATCTATCTATCTATCTATCTATCTATCTATCTATCTATCTATCTATCTATCTATCTATCTATCTATCTATCTATCTATCTATCTATCTATCTATCTATCTATCTATCTATCTATCTATCTATCTATCTATCTATCTATCTATCTATCTATCTATCTATCTATCTATCTATCTATCTATCTATCTATCTATCTATCTATCTATCTATCTATCTATCTATCTATCTATCTATCTATCTATCTATCTATCTATCTATCTATCTATCTATCTATCTATCTATCTATCTATCTATCTATCTATCTATCTATCTATCTATCTATCTATCTATCTATCTATCTATCTATCTATCTATCTATCTATCTATCTATCTATCTATCTATCTATCTATCTATCTATCTATCTATCTATCTATCTATCTATCTATCTATCTATCTATCTATCTATCTATCTATCTATCTATCTATCTATCTATCTATCTATCTATCTGTCTATCTATCTATATGTCTATCTATCTGTCTATCTGTCTGTCTGTCTGTCTGTCTGTCTGTCTGTCTGTCTGTCTGTCTGTCTGTCTGTCTGTCTGTCTGTCTGTCTGTCTGTCTGTCTGTCTGTCTGTCTGTCTGTCTGTCTGTCTGTCTGTCCTGTCTGTCTGTCCTGTCTGTCTGTCTGTCTGTCTGTTTGTCTGTCTGTTTGTCTGTCTGTTTGTCTGTCTGTTTGTCTGTTTGTCTGTCTGTTTGTCTGTTTGTCTGTCTGTTTGTCTGTCTGTTTGTCTGTTTGTCTGTTTGTCTGTCTATCCAACAGCTACCATACCAGCCTGCTGCCAGTTTTATATCCGTCTATATCTGCTTGTCTTATCTGGCTTGTCTTTTCTGCTCTGTCCGGTCCTCCCAGTCCTTCCGCCCCTCTCTCTCTCTCTCTCTCTCTCTCTCTCTCTCTCTCTCATCATTATGTGTCTAAGGAAAACTACTACGGCCCATAGTTTTTACCCCTTGTGTTACAATTATGCCCTGTATAAATCTATATTTTCTGTCTTTTTATCATATAGTTTACATGGTGTCACTGTTACAATAAATTACTGTTAATGGCATATCCAAAATATCTTAACGAGAGCTAGCACCACCACTAAAACTAACACCACCACCACCACTACTACTACCACAACAACAAGTACTACTACCACCACTATTGCTACTACCACCACCACTACTACTACCACCACTATTGCCACTACTACCACCACCACCACTACCATCACCACCACTACCATCACCACTACAACCTCTGCTTTCACTACCATTTCTTCTTCTTCTCTAGTATAAATATAAATACATCTAGTATGCATCGGGTGTGAGCCTTAATATGTTCTTCTAAGCTGTTGGTTGTTACAGCCATCTGTCCACTGCTTGCTCTAGATCTGGCTTGACTGTGTCTTAAGTGTCAAGGCTCTCTATCGTGCATATCTTGTGGTAGCCATGACATACGTCCGAACCACCTGATCTGTTGTCTCTGGGTGTAGTTTAACATAACTCCGTCTCAGCTTGTTTCCTGGTATCATCATTTCTGATTACGTCCCTTCTAGTTACATTTAGAATTCGTGGTAGACATTTAAAGTCTGTCTACGTTTTATTTCTCTAATTATTTTTAGGAATTCTATCTGTGTCTGGAGGACTGTCTCAATAGTTATTATGTTCAGGTGTGATACTTTGTCTATCCTTACACCCCCGCATGTATTTATGTATGTAATTGTATACACCCATATAGGTATGTGTTTACATGAACATTTGTCTGTATGTAGATACATATGTAAATATATATATATTTATGCGTGCCTATAGATATATTATGTGGGTATATACTTTCTGTATGGGTGCGTATATGCCCGTGTGGGTTCCAGGGCATTATTATAGGGAAAACAAGAATAGACCCACTGCCTACTCTAAAGCATGTCGTAAGAGTCGACTAACTGCGAGCTTCCTTCGAAGTCGAAGTGCATCTGCTTGAGAGGCAAGAAACCAACAGTCTGCACATATATGAGTCAGATCTGTCAAACGGATGCACACGCAAAACTCAGGTTCTGAAACCAGACTCCACTCTAGAAGTGGACGAGCAACCAAAACTTTCCGCCGAAGTTTACAGCTGGTGAACGCAAAGAAGAAGAAGAAGGGTGCGTATGCACATATGTGTATGGGTTTGTGTGTGTATATATATATGCATGTGAGTCATAGAAATGTATGAATGTGTATAATGATTTTTTTTTTTTTTTCTGCCAGCATTTTCCAGCATTCCTGATGCAATGAGCAAGTACAGGGATGGCTTTAATGAATGCGCTGGCGAGATCGTCAGGTACCTTGCAGAATCACAGGCAGTCAACGACGAGGCTCGAAGCCGAATCCTCTCCCACCTGGCCTCCCTGCTCAGCCCTATCAACAATATACCACTCCAACAGAATCATGTCCCGATTTTACCAGCACAGTTACAGCAGGCACAGCATCATCTACAACAGCAGCAGCATCAACAACAGCAACAGTCGTACCCACAGCAGCTACATCTTCAACAACAGCAAACCCACCATGTTATATTTGCTTCATCATCTCAATCCCTAGCTACTGACGCAAACAATAATAAATCTTCAATGCCACATCCAGCCTTCCTTGCGCCTACCGGAAATAATGTAGATATAAGTCACATGATTTCCGGGTCACCAACGGCTTTTCAGTCTCCAATAATCGCAGGGGTTAACGGTATTCCTAATCTGCAGTTTCCCTACGTGACAACAGCAGCAATGACAGAAGCAGCAGCATCGGCAGCGACCACGGCACATTTACAGCTTCTGCCAACCACTTTACCATCTGGACATGTTGCTCTGGTCCTTGCTCCACAGAGTATGCCCTCCATGACCGTCTTCGGATCCCGGACTCAGAATAGTAAAGAGACATTCAGCCAACAGACTGTTAGTGGATCGCTTTCAGGGGATCTCAAGCCCCAGGTGAAAATCAGTGACAATTCACTTTCTTTAGGGAAGAAACGACCAGAAGCTCTTAAAGATGATGGCGCGACCTTTTCGGGTTCTCGACAGTTGTCTTCAATGGCATCAGTGCATTCTTTATCATCGAATAAAAAACACACGAACACGCTTGCGAACTGTTCAGTATCAAACCCAGGTGGTACTTTCAGTAGAAGCAGCAGCATCAGCAATACAGAAGATATGCATGGTTTAAATGTTGTTAGGACAACTTCAACGTGGAGACCCTGGTAGAGGAGCTTCTGGTCTCAGTCGCTAGATTATTCGCACTGTACTCACTGAAATTGTTCCGATCATAAGTGTTGGATCCCTTTCTCTGTATATTGCGTAATGTATCGGTCGGCATCAGTCCTATGTTGGTTTCCTGCATACCAATCGTCTGCCTAACTACGCCCCTGGTGACGCTGCCAGCAGTGAAAGGGTACAACATCAATCAATAAATCAAGAACAAACATCAACGCACTCAGGACATTTCTATACGTGCACTGTCGTCTCCTCAGTAGCCAACGAGGAGTTCCTATGCCGACATGGCCTGTTACTACCATGTTTTATGCTCAGTGTTGAATAGATTCCAGACCTTCTGCTCACACTCCGCTGAATAAGCCTTTCAGGGCATGGAGACGCAGTTTGTTCTGTTGCATTGTCCACCAGAGACCTTTTACTATGTCCGCTTTATCATAAAGTTCAATAGGGTGCTGTGTGTTCCCGAGGCATGGTCTGCCTCGAGTGCTAAAGGTTCCGGGTTCTATCCCCGGTAAGGGCTGGGATTTTTTCACGTGGACTTGGACTTCTAGTAAGTTTCCCCTGGTCTCTGGGTAGTGAGATCGGACGCCCGTGTGCATTGTTGTGCATGTTTAAATCCCTTGGCAGTTGGAAAAAGAAGAGTAGCCTAACGGCGCTGCGCGGGCAAAATTTGCAGTTAAAAATCTGCCCAAAGTATTTCAGGATCCTACAGGGCCTGTGCACTGTGCTGAGCTTCTTTAAACTCAGACTTGAGTTAGAAGATGAACGAAGCTCTGATGCGTTGCTACCCGTGTGCCATGATGTTGATCCGTTGTTCACACTTCAAACTTCATAAAGTGCAACATGAAAACGGAATCACAAAGAGGCAGAAAGAGACCTAAAAGACAATTAACTCAGATAGTCACTGACAGCTTGAGACTTCACAATATCACCGCCTACCAAGTAACCGAGCTCGCCCTGGTTCGGCTACCAAACGTCATTTGAACTGCAAAGCATTGCATTATTGATCTTTCTATGCTAGGTCTCAAGACTCTGACCCCTGACGATCCCCATTTACAAAATGTTGGCCCCTAAGAAATCTTAGTTGGCTTGTCCTAAACCATCGGGGAAAGAAGGGTGGGGGGGGGGGGGGTCTCCGAGACGTTGTCAAGCTGTTTGACTCGCGCTGTCGAGGTCGTGGTTTGTTTCATGGCTGCCTCGTTCACGTGTGTAATTTTGTACAGAAATCCCTAGATATCGTTGCCGGAACTATAGAGTTCGTGCTTTGTGCGGTGCTCTCCTCAGACGACTAGCCGTTCTGCAGAGAGAGACTGAGTCATATGCTATAAAACCCGGTCCAGTGAAACCGTTACTTTTCACACTGGCCACTTGGTCCCCACTGGCTCGCCTGTAGACGACTTCGTCGCCTGTCGGGACAGTATGTGGGTGTGTCTCCTTTGATCGCATCAATACTGCAGCAGTCTTTTTCACGGCTCTTAGTGGCGTGCAATGCTAAGTCATTTTTTAAGGCACACATAACCTAGTCATAATTATAACCTAAAGCTGGTTGAACGTGACCATTTTGTTCTCTCCAGCAAAGCACCTGCCTATCTTTAGGACCTCAGCAGGGAGCCTCGGATTATTTGTTTGGTCTACTGAGAGTGGCCACATGTTGTTTTACAGCTGCTCCAGAAGCAGTCGTGTAGTAAATATTTTGGAGTCTGTTCTTCTGCTGCTGCTTCTTCTTCTTTTTCTTCTTCTTTTTTTTTTCCTTTTCTTCTTCTTATTTTCTTGTTCTTGTTCTTGTTCTTCTTCTTCTTGTTCTTCTTCTTCTTCTTCTTCTTCTTCTTCTTCTTCTTCTTCTTCTTCTTCTTCTTCTTCTTCTTCTTCTTCTTCTTCTTCTTCTTCTTCTTCTTCTTCTTCTTCTTCTTCTTCCTCTTCTTCTTCTTCTTCTTCTTGGTGTTCACCGGCTGTAAACTCCGACGGAAAGTTCTGGTTGTTCGTTCACCCCTGGACATTGACGTTGATCCAGAACTTGACTTTTGCGTGCACATTCGTTTGCCAGATCTGGCTTATTTGTATGCAGACTGCTGATTCCTTGCTTCTCTGGCGGATGTACTTCGACCCTGGAGAAAACACCCCTAATTAGTTTCCTCATACGGCATCCTTGTTACAGGGTAGTGGTTTTATTATTTGTTTTCCAAAACTGAGCTCCAGAGCCCACACGGGGAGGAGTGTGATCAGCACGCAAACATCAACACTGTGAGAGAGAGAGAGAGAGAGAGAGAGAGAGAGAGAGAGAGAGAGAGAGAGAGAGAGTAAAAGAGAAGGTGTGTGTGAGAGAGAGAGAGAGAGAGAGAGAGTAAAAGAGAAGGCGTGTGTGAGAGATAGACTGTGAGAGATAGACTGTGAGAGATAGACTGTGAGAGAAAGAGTGTGGGAAAGAGAGAGTGAGAGAGACTGAGAGAGTGTGAGAGTGAAATAAATAGAATGCTTGTGTGACTGTGAGAGAGTGTCTTTGTTTGAGACAGAGACTAAGAGTATGTGTGTGTTTATGTGTGTATATATATCTGCGAAATAGTGTTTGTATATTTCTGAGAAAAATACATGGAGAAAGAGTGTATGTGTCTTAGAGAGAAAGAGAGAGAGAGAGAGAGAGAGAGAGAGAGAGAAAGAGAGGGAGAGAGAAGGGGGGGGGAGGAAAGAAAGTACCAGTGAGTGTGTTAGAAAAAAAAGAGGGAGAGAGAATGTCGTGTGTGTTTGTGTATATATATATATATATACAAACACACACGACATTCTCTCTCCCTATATATATATATATAAATCCGTGGGTGTATCTGAGGAGAGAGAGAGAGAGAGAAATCGAATGTTTTATATTCTAATTGCTCTTCTATTTGTTTTACTCTTATCCAGAAGTGCCTTATTTTATTTCGATGTACATTTTTTGTTGTTGACATACCAGTGACATAAGTGCGCTTAATTGTTCGCTGATTAAAATGTGTTATTCAAAGTACCACACGCTTTGTTTTGTTTTCTTTTTCTATGGTGTACATTAGGAATTGTCAATAATGTTTCATAATGTGTCTTCTACGTCCTGGCGTCCCTACCCGCGCACGGCTGCAGCTGTAGCTATTATGAGTTGCCTGATTGTAACTTCTCTGCAGGTTAAACGGGGTATCTTGGATCTGCCATGTTGGTCTTCCTACCAGACTAGAGATTCTGTCATCTCAGGATGGTATGGTAAACCAATAAGAGCAGCTGGCTCAGTTTTGTCTTGCTCACAGTCAGCTCTAGATAACGCCGTACAGCTCAACGGGAATTCCAGTTTTTTTTTTTTTTTAAACCGTATGTGACCGGTCGATGCTCACCATTGTTACCGAGTAGATTTATACATAAATTAAACAATACTTTCATTATTTGCAATTAAGTGGGATATGAATTTTATTATTATTTGTTTCTAATAGCCCACTTATTTATCTTCAAAATGAGAATTATTCAATAGCACAGGTTGCAATAAAAAAAAAAAAAAAACGTTACTTTAATTTGTGTATAAATCAACTACTTGGTAACAATGACGAGAATCGGCCTCCCAAAAAAAAAAACGGGAATTCCCGTTGAGCTGTATGGTCTTATCTGGAGCTGGCTGTAGTTTTGCTCCGCGCAAAGCTACTTCAGTAGCATGTGAGTCGTCAGGAAACGGCAGGCAGGATATACCCCACCTGCATGGAGATGTCCAAGACGTCTCTATCACGGAGACGCACCGCCGTTGATTTCTGACGATGTGTGACGTCTATGTATGTAAACAAGTTTGTCCCCTGCAGGATTAACACCTCAAGGATGAGCGCCGAGCATGGGTAAATCCAAGAGTCCCATTCAACGGCGTAACAGTTATACTGGGGCCCGCTGATGGTTTCGTAGTAATCTCTCTGGACCGAGCTGGAAATTTACGTAAAGACTGTATCGAGTAATTTTCCATTCCATTTAATTCTGGGGGAAACAAATTAAAAACTCGACCACCTTCAATATGCCCCGGTTATATTTGTGGTAGTTTTCTTGCGCTAATTTCATGGCTAAGATTGTGATATGCGCGCCAGCTCTCTGGCTTTAGGTTCCTATCTTAGTAGCTAGACTGCTGCTCCCTGCCTGTGCCCCAATGTGCTCCTCCTATCATCTTCCTGACGTTTTCCTCCAGGGCCATCCTCCGTCCGGTTCATTCTCCTTATAGTTTTGTCCTTGGTGTCCTCAAGTGTTCCCTAGTCTGTTCCCTTCTAGTTTGGCCAGGCCTATCTCGAAAGAGACCCAGATAGTTTGAAACTTCTTCTTAAAGGTCATGCCGTGTGGCGTTGATAGTCATGTCTTTCCACAACCTTTTGTCTCGTGTACTTCAAACTTTAAAACAAATGATTCTCTATGCCATGATGTCAAATTGTCCAGCATCTGTTCTCTTGGTCTCCCTCTGCCTCTTCTTTCCTCCAATTTTCCTACTGTCATGATGCACTCCAGTTTTCTCCTTCTCATCACTTGACAAAAGAATGTAGATTGTCCCTTTCTGAAGTGGTGAATCAGTTCTCTTCGTGAGTCAGTTTTTTTTTTCAAGATCTCTTTATTACTCTTTTTATCTGTCTAGGGTAGTTTGCACTAGTATCAGGTAATCGCAGTTCCAACTTAGTAGCAACCCTTAATATATCTCACCTTCATATGCCAACGAAAATCACGCAGAATGTCATTCACTGTCCCTTGGCAAAGCCAATAGCCTTACACACGCATTAAATGCATAAGGCAGCTGTCTGATGTGACAACACAGCAACACAGTCTAGCATTATAAATATATTTCATCACAGAAAAAAAGCAGCTGTTACAACTGATCAATAGTTGCACACGTAATTAATCGCACAAGACACCACCAGTTTCACTAGGAACAGGCCCCTAGCCATTTTTGCATTCTAAATTAATACCGCAGCTCAGAGTGTCACGATCAACTCAGTAGATGGGCGACGGAACTATATCCT